ATCCACCTAGTTTTCATTCATTCAAAGCATCCCACAAGCAGATCAATATAACACTTAATTAATACTGGAATGCAAAAATTGAATTCATTCCCACCTAAACATGAATAATGCTAATGGAGAGTAAGTTCATAATTCATTGTCTAACCTTGTTCCATTAGAGTAGATTCTTTTTCTGTACAGTAGTGGACATTCAGTAAATCATTTTGCATAAATCTATTAGAATGCCTCAAAATGAAGACCCAATGAATCAGCAAAAAAATCCAAAAATGGCATTTTTTCTGTTGATAAATTTGACTAATGGTAAGCTTTCAATGATCAAAAATAAACAATGAAAACTTTTTTAAGATTGTATTTTTTTTCTTTATGCTAAAATGGGTTATTGAAGCTATTATCAGTATTGGCAGCAAGGAGACATGAGAAATCAGTGGAAAAAGCATAAATATAATTTTTTTGGTATAGTACGATACAAAGGACCCCAAATGCCAAAATTCTTTGTATTTAAAATCAACATATTATAACACTAAAGTAAAGGATATAAATAAGGTTACTATTTGTAATGTCTATGAAAATAGAGGAAAAAAGGAAGTCAAATAAGTTGAAAGCGAGATACCCTGTGTAATAGTTTTAGAATGAAAACTCCCTTCTGTTAACACACTAATATTGATAAGAAATTTTATTCTATTACTGTTTTTCAAAGTAACAGAAACATTGAAGTCATAAAATTCTAAAATATTTTGTGTCGTTTCTGATACCACAATTTGAATTGTCATTCTAAAAATAAGTAGCAACTTATGAATTTTATTTATCAATTTCTTTATTCAACACACATTTCATAATATCACTAGTATTTCCTTCTCTGTGCTAGGTACAGGGCACAGAAATAAAAGGCAGACACCAAGAAGGAGACAGATGTATATTTATAATAGAGGGAGATAAACAGAAAGAAATGTTGAGTTATTTGAGCACATAGATGCCGCAACCCCCACAGGATATGAAAGATCAGTAAGACGAAGTAACATCAGATTAAAGTCTTAACAGCTAAGCTTCAGTAAGTCAGTGTGCTAGACCACAGGGAATTGAGTTTCTGCACTGAATCTCTTATCTGTCAATGGTAAGTCAGACATTGGAGAGAGATTTGCGATTTGGAATCTAGCATATTAAGAAAAGGCATAGATGAATCTGCAGAGGTTTGACATAGACTTCATCACATCAAGTTAAATAGTGAGATTGGTATTTTAGAAACATGATTTGAGCAACAATGAGAATAATAGGTGAGAGACTGAGGTAGGACAATCAGTACCTTAGCTCTGGTAGCTGACAAAGGCAGAGTGGGGAAAACAATGGGCTAGATTAATGAGCTACTGGGAAGAGCTTCATGATTACTAAAAGCATTAGTTAATAAAGGGGAAGAAAATCACAATGAATTCTAGAATTTGGCTTGAGTAATGAGATGCTGAAGAAAATGAAGACTACAAAGGGAGATTTATATTAGAGTATAAACTTAATATGAAAGTATCTGGAAATAATAAGACGTCATTAATCGACTTATGCTGCGAATCTCTGTTAGCTGGAAAGATTAATAGAATTTCCCCAGGGATCTAAAATATAAATATGGAATAGCTTGCCTGCTTCAGTTTTTCTGCTTGCTTAGTATTTTTAATCAATTTACAATTGGCTGTTCATCCATTTATCATCCCTATGAGATTAGTTAATGGTAGCATTCCATTTTTAATCTAACTGTGATGCAGTAATTTCTAGAAGTCCTCCAGAGAGACTCTGAAAAGCCAAAATTCGACTTTAATTGTCTGAGTCCTTTTACTGCTTGAAATAGTTACTCAAATAAATTGCCTTTGATAGGAAAAATAGCAAGAATTGCCACTTAAGAATTCAATTTACTATATAAATATTTCAGATTATTTTACCTTGGGGCAGCAATTTTTTCTTGTTTGAAAAGGATTTAGTCTAAATAGTGGTACCAAATGGAAAGCTGCATACTGCAAATGAGCTAGAAATTGGTTTTGTAGCCACTAACAAATACACTAGTTTGAATTAGACCTAGTCAAATAGCAAGTGTGACTACATTTTCAATAATTCAAATAGTTTGCATTAAGTGAACTGATGGGTTGCCTGCCACCATATACATTATCAAAGTTAATTTTATCAAGTTAATAATGAACTGAACCAAAACAAATGCATTGCTTATGGCTCTGAGATCAAGAATAAAATAAAATCTGCCATTACTAAAGAGATATATACTAGTTGAATAAAACTTGTATGCTTAGTTAACACACTTTAAACAAAATACCGCAACCAAAAAATGAGCAGTTTCCAAGCTACTACTTTATATGTAATCTTCATACAAGTAGTATTTTTAACATTGGTTAAGATTCCACATAGGTGATAATTTTCTCCACCAATAAACATTGTATTTTGCAATTTTCTCAGCCAGTACAACATGAAAATTCATTTTTTTTAAAGCACTGCACTCTTTTCCAAACTTGACTTCCCTCATCACTAAGAACTGTGGATTCCTCACCACTACCCCAAGCTCTTTCCCCTTTGCTTCTGTTGCACTATAAACAGTGGGATGCTGGACCCAGTAGCTCAAGGCCACAAAGCTGGTTTTACATCGTTGTCCTCAACCTACTCTAAAATCCTGCAGCATGATTTTAATACTCCATTCAAAGTCAACCACAACTTTTCATGTTCACTCAGTCTTCACCTGATTTGGTTATGACAAGTTTTTCAGTGATCAATGCAAGAGAAACTATATTATTTTTAAAGAAAGGTCTTAGGCATTTGTAGCAACATATAATTATTTCAGTGTTTCTGGATTTCAGACAAAGCAATTAGTGTTATAAAGCACTATTGATGCAGTTTTAAATATCCATCTTGCCAGATACCAGCAAATGAAGTATCAAATCAAAGATACCAGGAAACCATGGAGGAGAGCAGCAGCCGGAACAGTGCTACGATGACTTCGCAACCCGCATGCTGTACAGCTTTGGACAAATATATGACTATTTCCTTGTCTTAAACCAAACCCATGGTTTTTCCAAAATGTTCTACACAAGGACCCAGAAGCAGTTTAGTTTGGTGTGGAAAAGCAGCTCAAATAAAATAAAAACTGGGAAAAAGATTAATTTTTCTTAGAGACTTTGGATTAACCATCATTAGCAAAGGCAGAAAATATTCATTTCCTAGTGAAGATGTTTGGCTTCAATATGGCGGGAGGATGAACTCTACATAAAAATCCTTATTCTATACATAGGATAAGCATGATTAAGAATGAAAATGTTTTAAGACAAATGGTAAAGGCTTTCTTTGTAATAAATTATTTGGTTATAAACAGGTATTGCATACCCTTTGGTATAATAACTACTATCCAGTTTTGCTGGTGTCCATTCTGTGTGTCCCTTGGGAACCAGGAAGAAACGAAGTATTCTGGATTATAGTTCATTATAGAACATATTTAATGTATCCACTTTGCTTTACTGTAAAATAATTACTGAATGAAAACATATCTTTAGATCTGAAGTAGCACATATTTACAAAACTATTGCTAACCACGTTGCATAAACTGAGTCCTTTTAAAAAATAAAAAAAAAAATGATGCTCTTAATAGGAATCATAAGCAAAGCTGAAATACAAACTCTCTGTGTATATTCCCATAATTCTTGACATGCTGTTCCTCATTCACTGGCTCACAGGCTCCTGGGTTTAAAAAAGCATAATGAAACTTAATTAGCATGTCCTAGCTATTTCACAATAACTTATTACCACCTTAGCAAAGCAAAGAAAAAAAAATGCTGAGGACAAAACCAAACTGCTGTCAACAAGAGCTCTTAATGTCTTGTGAATAGGGTTATTCTAACCAGTAAGTTAGTAAAGTCATTATATATATATTATATATATATATATATATATATATAAAGTCAGATATATGTATGTGTGCATATACATGTGTGTATACATACATGATCTGTATATATACATATATGATCTGTATATATGTGTGTATATGTATATATGCACATACATATATATATGTACACACACACATAGAGAGATTTTGCTTGTCACCACAGGTTATTGTCTTTTATAACTTCTTGTGTATTTTTTCTCAAATTTTCTATATTCCCCTATTTTATTCTCATTTACTCATACATATATATAGACATATATGTGTGTGTGTGTGTGTATTGTATATATATTGTATATATGTATGTGTATATATATTCATATATACATATATGTATATTGTATATATATTGTATATATGTATGTGTATATATATTCATATACACACATACATCTATATATATATATGAATAAATGAGAATAAAATAGGGGAATATAGAAAATTTGAGGAAAAAAAAATACACAAGAAGTTATAAAAGACAATAACCTGTGGTGACAAACAAAATCTATAGGCAGTGCAGTAAAATTACTATTAGCTTGACCACTGCATGGCCTACGGAGGGGCAGAATGCTTTTAACTCTGTTCCTCCTATATTAATATAAATAAGCATATTCAAGCACATAGAAAATGAAGAGATTTTTCAAGAAAAATGGGGGGAAAAGATGCTGGATTAATGGTCTATGGCTAAGGGACTTTATCTTTTATTTGTAGTACCATTTTAGAAGTAACTTACATTTTTTCTATGTCTGGTAGCATTATTTTCTACGCCATTGCTGTCATCAGATTTCCTGTACAAAAAATAAAAAATGCTAGATACTTAACACGGTATAAAATTAAGTCAGTACATCATCTACACCATGGGTAGCAGGTCACACAACTTTCTAAAACTGTCACACTCTTTCTAAAACTGTTGTACAACTGATGCTGACCTTGTTGAGGCCACTCCTTGGGCAGTGACAAACATCTGCTGTCTTATGCAGAAAGGGTGTGTGGGCAAGTCTGTGTGAATTCAGATAACTGAGAAAGTGGATCGGATAACAGAGAGTTTCTCATTGAACTGGAGTGACAAGCTTGTTCTAATGCTGTGTGTACAGTACTATTTCTTCATTGTATTATTTTTACTAAGGTAAAGTTGATTTACAGCACTGATTTAGAGAGTAGAGTGACACCTCTTCAGATGTAGGTTACCACACCACACCCACCATCTATGTGTTTAGTATTATTTTTAAAGATCATTTTACCAAGGAACTATGAATCACTGATATTTAAACACACACATAGACATGATATCAAAATATGCTGATAATATCAGAATATTCTTTTGGAAATATTTTTTTATCAAGCAAAATGTATCTCCCAAGTGAAAATTCCAAGCACATTGATAAAGGGTTGCTTTAAATGAGCTCAAGTGCCTGTGATACTTAAATTAACTTCAAGGATTTGAGATAACGTAAAGATCAGAAAACTGAAACTGTCAGTGATCTCTGTACAGGATGGAGGAAAGGCTCCACAGTATTCCAATTTTCAAAAAGAATTAATTCATTATATTACAAATTGAATCATTTTGACATAATTTTAAGGCAGCCTAGAAAAACTATGTTTTAAATATTTTTAAAAGGAATAAATAAATGGACTCTAAATTATTAAGAACTGACAGTCTGCACCTCACTGTTCAGGCACAATCCACCAGAGAGTGCCCTAAATAGAATGCTGAGACCAAAGAAACTTCCACAGAGGAATAATGGTCAGAAGAAAGGCAGGCAGAGCTGGGAAGAGAGATAAAACTGGTGAGGGCTGTGACTGTAACTGAAAGATTCAGTGTCCATATGCCTCTTATGTAAAAGAATGGGTGTCAATACATGGGTCCCAGGGAAATAACAAGTCCAAGTCAATATAAACAAGATGTCCAACACAAAAACATTCATTCAAAAGGACAACTGCACCCCTATGTTTACTGCTGCCCTATTTACAATAGGGAAGATGTGGAATTAACCCAAATGCCCAAAAAAAGATGACTGGATCAAGAAGATGTGGTACATATACACAATGGATCAAAAATCAAAAAAGATAAACTCATGCCATTTGTGGCAATGTGGATGGAGCTGGAGGGGATCATGCTTAGTGAAATAAGCCAGAAAAGAAAAAGAAAAATATGAAATATGGTTTCATTCATAGCAGGAGTAGAAGGAATCAGAAAAATAAAACAACTGTAATAAATACAAAAATCAGCAAACAACTATAAACCATAGACCTTCTACAGGGTGGGGAGGGAACAGGTCAAAATTGAGGCAGGAAGAGCACACAGGACTATGGTGATGGCACATGGGGGAAATGGTGATGGGAAATCCACTGGGACGACAATAAACGAGATAAAAAATGTACAAAATGAAGAATGATATATACATAAAAGCCAAGATGTCTAAAAAGAGGTGTAATTTCCTTTCAACTATGAGACCTATGATTTGTAGACAAAGTTTCTTTATTTTTTCCTGACTGGGATTATGAAACTCCTCATATAATTATTCAATGTCCTCAATTTTGAAGCTCTTATTTTGCTGATTTATTAAGAATGTGAATTATGTCAAAATAACTCTAACGCCTAAGAATATCTAAATGGTAACTAGGCATCCTACTCTTAATCGTGGTCACCATACTCACACCTCAGACCTCCTACTGGCTGAAGAAACATCAAATGCCTTTTGTGCACTGGTCACAGTTGCTAAAGCTTCCCATGTCCTAGCTTTCTTTCAGCCTCTTTTATCTGCTCTCATTTTCCTGGTCCCCTGAGCCTGGCTCTTACTTGGATTTTGATCTCAGCTGTGAGGCCCTCCATCATACAGTTTTCTGGCTTGGAAGGCGTGACAAACCTCAGCTTTACCAAACCAAATTACATCCCTATTAATTTTATTCTCAACTCTGCTCCCATATTCAACTCTAAACAAAGGACCATAAGAGAAGGAGTGGCCAAGTTTGTCTTCTCTCCAAAATGAAGGGTAATAGAATCTCGTTAGTGATTTTTAATTTGACTAAGAACTAGCATTCTTTAAAAAAGACATTTTAAAGAAATGGAGATGCCCAGAAGCCATCTGGATTTGATCCAGGAGATCCAGTAGCATCTGAGCAACTGTGGTTTAAAGGAGCACCATAAATTATCAGAAATATAGCTAGGAATCAGAATCATCATTTGAATGAATATTTCCATATAGTTACCAAATACCATTCTTTGCAACAATGCCTATGATGAGCCTTTGCAGAAACATACTGTTTAATCCAGCATCACAAACATCAAATATCATAAACCCATCTTATTGAGGATAAAACTAAGGCACAGAGGAGTGAAAGTATTAAGTACTGGACGTGCACTGTATCACCATCAGCAGACAGCATGGACATGTACAAAAAGCTTGAAAATATACTCTTGTGCTTTCCCCCCTCTAATTATAAGCACCATATTAAACTTTACATTTATCTGTATTTTATAAAAAATAAAATTAATCTGTAAAGTAGAGTACTTACAGCTGTTCAATTTGTTCAAATTCTTTCCCATCATCTGTGTAACAAAAACAAGAGTTCTGTTAGAACTGGCTTATAATTCTTATGCAATATGTAGGCTCAATTCAACTTTCCCCCTCAGTGAAGAATGCAGTGTGAGTCTATCCCTCTTTGAAATGAACAAGAAATTAATATATCAGACAGTGACATCCCCACGACATCCCCCTGTTCCTGCTCTAAAGACCTGACCTGTGTTTTTGGCACCAGAACAGGTTATTGTCTGGGACTTTCAAAAGCAGAAATGCTTGATTTGTAAGTATTTAAAATTCTAAAAATATTAGCACAAATTTAGGAAAGAATAAAGAATATGAAGTAGATTTCCTTACAGAAATCGGAAGCTATGTTTCTCAATCAGCAATCCATCAGGCACAGGCAAAGAAGTGGGAAATGGACTAGACAAAGTCCTTTCAATGAGAACTCCAAATGTTTGATAAAATATAACTAAGTGAAGGAATTGTTTGCCTTTGAGATATTTTATATTAAACTAAAATAGAATTTTCTAACATTCTAGGGCCAACACACTTCTTAACTAATTCGTGTGATGGTAACCTCCCTATAAAGTTGAAAAAAGTGTAGGGACGGGGAAAAAATGCTAAAAGATTTTAGATGTTGAAATTGAAAGACCATAGATACATACTCAGAGCTCATTACCACCATTGATATTAATGTAAATACGACAGCAAATTAAAAAATATAGTTATATTTTTTTCAAAAAAAAAAATGTAAAACTACTTTAATATAGGAACTCATTACGTATGAACATTGCCTAAAAAAGAACACATACCTGCATGCGTCTTTTTCTTTTGGGTGTATACTTCACAAAGCAGAATAATAGTCACTAAAAGAACCACCTCAGCGGCTATGGCAAGAAAGGGTTTGAGGGGCACCAAGTAGCTCAGCACAACAAGTTCCATATGGCCTTCGCTTTCACCTAAGTGAAATATTGCGCGGCACCAGTAAGTTCCCTGATCCTCCTCCGAAAGCTGCATTATCTTGAGCCATGTTTCATTAGCATTTGTTGCATTGAGAACATACTTATCAGTCATGTGGACATCAATGGGAACCTATTATAAAAAGACATTAAAATGGGTGAATTGGTGATGCGTGCACTATGGTGGCACCCAATACTACCTTAGTTAAAATAAATTATAAGAAATTATAGCATGGAAAATAAGAATATTATTTGAATTAAAAAATGTATGTCCATCCCTATCAAATTGCATAAAATATCACCAAAGTTATATAGCTAGGTATAAGACTAACAAATATAAAAATGCATAGTTTAAAAAAATTATTTATGCATACAAGTACTGGGGTGCAAGCCAGAGTGAAGGGGGCAGTGAGAGGATTTACCAGACAGAGTGAGGAGCAGAACAGGTGGATCTACTAAAATCCACTGCTGAGGGGAGCAGTGGGTAAGACAGGAGAGATCTGTGGCACCATGTGGGTCAGCTCCCTGGCCGGCCAGGGATTGAATTCTGCTCTGATAGCTGGCAGTAGCTTGATAGCACTGTCTCTAACCCCTGCATCACCAGGGAGGCCCCTAAAAATGTATAAATTATATATGAACTAAATGATCTAGTATTTGAGCAAAAGCTTTAAAATAGTGCCAGGAAAAATGCACACTAGAAAAAGGCATATTTGTGAAGTTATATATAAGATAGCTCAAGCTTCATCAGAGTTTGATTTTCAGAGGTAGCAAGGACTTCTGCATTAAGATTTTCTGCATGTTTACTTTGCCTTATGTACCTAGCACTAAATGTTTTAAACCACAGGTTGTAGATCATTATGAGTAAATATGATAAAATGATTAAAATTTCAGATAAAGCCCAGTCACCTGGCTGTTAGATTTTAACCCCTGATTAGCTGTCAATGCATTTTCTCCTTCACAAATACAGACATTTACTAATTTGATTATTGGTGAATCCTCTCATTCCCCACACCTCTGGCCTACACCCCAGTGCTTCTACACACACACACACACATGCACTCTCAATGAACTCTTCAGGTCTTTGAAGCTGATGTAGGAGAAATGGCAGAATCTCCTGTGATGCTGGCATATGTGGTGGTCTGCAAATCTTCTTTCCTATCTGAATTTCTCAGGCAAACTTATGTCTAAGATTCCTCTGAATTTCCTCCAGCCTCTAAAGAGCCGTACAAAACCATTTGGAGCCTAAGTAATTTAACCTATTTTACTTAAATGCATTCTCCTCTGCTAACGTCTTCTCTGTTCTATTATTCAATTGCACTACTCAATAAATGGTAACAATGCACACAAATATTCTAGAAGGTTATTTGATGAAGAACTGTCTGTGAGTGATAGAACCTGTCTCCATGTGCATAGCATTCTCTGACATGCTTGTTACAAATGTGTGTTCTCTCTAATCAGAACTGACCAGTAAAGGCACTGTATGTACCCACTTCAGGTGATTCTTATCACCTGGATCAACTGGTTAAAAAGACTTTGATTTCAAGTTGTGACCTATATTGTCTTCTATACTTTTTTTTTACATGCTAATATAACTCATTCTTAGGGTCAAATTAAAAGAAAATCAGTATTAATAGAGAGAAAGCCAAACATTTAAAATCATTAAAGTTAATTTTTTTGGCTAATATATTTTAAGCACAAATATTTTAGGCTATGTATTTCAAATATCATAATTGATATTTGGTTCTACAAATTTATATGTTTTTGAAAATATGTACATGTATACAATGATCCCTTTGTCTAAGCAATAAAAAGATAAGCAGACGTATTCAGTTAGTCTATTTGTAGTGATTTTGAAGTTATTTCTTTGAAAAATAAACCTGTGTTACCATAGAACCAGTCACTCACCCTTTTATATCCTTCCTCTGTCTTCCTTCAATAGTCTAAGGTAGCACCAATTTTGTTTATGAAGAATTGAATTTTTCAATGGTGAGTTTTTTTTAAGAGATTTATTTATTTATGCATATAGAATTGTGGTAAAGGCCAAAGGTATGGGGAGGTGAGAGGATTCACTAGAGACAGTGAAGAACAGAACAGGCAGATCTACTGAAATAAACCGCTGAGGGGAGGAGTGGGCAGGTCAGGAGAGGTCTGCCACGCCATGTGAGTCAGCTCCCTAGCCGTGGGTGGAACTTGTGCTGCAGTGGCTTTGGAGAGCTTCATAGTGCCATGCTTTAGTCTGCTGTGTCACCAGGGAGGGCCCAGGAATTGAATAAATATTCAATTGCAAGATCTACTCTGGCTCGAGCTATTAGTCCTAAAACTCAGCTTGCTGTATAGAATTTTCATTTCAATATTTATTAATTCCAGAGCAATAAAAGGGTATCCCCTAATGGACAATGTTCTAAATTTTCCTGTTTTGGAAAAAGAAAGGAAATTAGAAGTGATTTACTGAATTCTGATGTTTTTCTTAATATCAGCTCTTTGAATAGCCATTAATTCTTTAAGAGAAATTCAAGTTCATTTTAAGAGAAATTCAAGTTCATTTGGCTTCTCGTTGTTCTCTGGAAGGCCAAAAGAGGTCAGACACTGACTAATGGAACACAAGACCTAAGTTTAAGTCATGCAAATTTCATTCTTTTTTTTTTTTCAAATGGTGTCATTGCACTGTACCCACAAAGGTTTCCAAAGACAGAAGCAGGTAAAGAAAACTGTATTTTTTTTTCCTACTTACTTTTATGGAATACAAGGGGAAATTTTTTTGATGGGGTTATTTTTAAACTCATCAACTAAAAATGAATTTTAACTTCATTTCAAATAATTTAAATAAGTTGTTAAGTCTAAAAAGACAATTTAATAATGAAGCATTGAGTATTTTGTAAGATGCTAGAGACATCAATGATAGTTCCCTTGATCATTGTTCTTAATAGAAATAGAAATATGCCTAGAAATTCTGTCTTCTATAAGCATATTATTAATGAAAGATTTTATTTTGTTGCTTCAAATGAAGGAAACATGGTCTTACCTGTACACTGTCATTGCTACTGTACCAGGTCCAGTTTAAAGGAAAACAATCTTGACATTTACATTTCAAGATAGCTGAATCCCCCACATAAGTGATCAATGGTTTATTTTTTCCACTAAGTTCAGGTACTAAGGAAAATTTAGAAAAACGTGTTATTGAAAGAGTATGAATGGGGGGAATGTATTCACATTGAAGATAATTTCTCCTTTCCCTATTACTATGATTTTCTCTATGCAGTTTTAGTTCTATATAAAGTGAAACTATTTATGGTGGGCAGGATATGTACCATAATGGCAAGAGTAGTAGAAAGACAGTTCAATATTATTGCCTGAAATAAGTCTACTATGAGTCTGCTACAAGTGTTGTAATAAACTGTTACATGTTTTGGGTCATTTGGATCAGAAACTTTGGGGTTTTGGGGTAAAGATTACACAGTAGGGAGAATCTAAACTCACCTCCTATCATAAACACAACAAATCTACAACTACTCTAATTTACTGGAAAGTAGACCTGAAAATTGGTCAAATAAAGGCCCTACAAGGGATAAAAGAACAGAACAATAAAGAACAGGAAAGAGAAATAAGGTCACGCTGAGGAAGAAATCCACTGGAGATGCACTGCTGGGGTGAGGGGGAGGGGGAGATTCTAAATGAATAGAACTTTGGCCTGAGAGCAAGAGAGGGTATGGCCTGCATTAAACACTCCAACCTTTCCATTCTGCACAGCAGAGATGAGTCCCTAGGTTACTGGCAGTGAGGGCTGGTGGGGAAAATACCCGGAAGAATCTAAAAATTAGAGGAACCAGAGAAGACATCCGTAAAAGGTCCAAGCACAACTCACATGCCCAGAGACACAGTAACATATGGCTGAAAAATGTATGAACCATAAGGAATCTGCTGGCTACTGTTACAGTATTTAAAGGAGAATAAGATATTTCAGATTGATTCTTAAAGATGGCAGCAGTCATCTTGGCAACTTCATGCAACGCTGGTAATTATAACACCTGTGGGTCTCACCCTAGATTCCTCTTCCCTCCCACAAAGACTGGGAAGACTGGTGAGAACCCCACCCATCCTAGTAACATAACTGTGTGGTCCTGCCTGGCACCTTGAATGCAACCATCCAAGAAGGAAAAAATGGGTGAGCTGACTTTGCCAGAAGAGATTTTGAGCAGTCCTTTTGAGAGGCTACTAGTGTTCCCCTACTGGTCACCAAGTGTTACGTGATATTAACATGTAGTTAACACGTGTCCATTTCAAATGTCAGGTCATGTGTTTCTGAAGGTGTGACAATGACTCATATCCAAGAAGTATCTAAATTAGAATTACAGCTTTAATGCTACTGAATTTCATTGGGTTGCCCATGTTACTTGCCATACAAGAAATGAAACTGGTTAAATAGTTAAAAATAAATCTTGTTTCCAGACCTATATAGTAAATGGAACTTTACAAGTTATTATAAAACCTAAGAATAGAAAGGAAATGGAACATTTACAACATGCTGGTTTTTACAAGAATAAAACAAGTAATACTTTGACAGGACCATGAGCTAAATTTTTTAATGAAGAGTACAATCCAAATGACTTAAAAAAAAAAAAAAAGAGGATGTTCCTCACATAAATGTTCTGCACTATTACATCCAACTACTTTTATTAGAGTTTGGTTTAATTTCTTTTATCTTTGGCTACTCTTTCAAGGCTCACTTGTAGACCCTGACATAACTCTAATGGAGGAAAACAACCAATATGTGAAAAACTGGAAGCAACTATGAGATCCAAGAGAATAGCTGAACCATCTGTCTTGATATTAACATAACTGTATTTTAAGTTCTTGAGAAACAAGACGATAATTTTAAATGTTAAAATGGTAAAGGCCTAAATTAGGCTGAATCATAGAACATTTTATTCCATATCATTTTCTTATGGTGCAGCTAGATTTCTCACTACACACTGGAAGCAGTGGCCACGGAAGACTGGGCAGTGGTCCATGGACTAAAGTCCCCACTGACCTCAATATAAATTTCCTGTTCTCATTCAATCTCTCATTTCACTCAGCCTTAGAGAGGATTATCCCAGATTGGTCATGTCCTGGGACATTGCTGAGTTCTGTTTTGAGAATGTGGAGGTATAAATAACTCAGCCCCAAGTTCAACTATTTTTCTGTGCATACTCTATCTACAGTAAGTGCCAAACTGGGGTTGGACTATGGAAGAACAGACAATTGGTTTTAAATTTTCTAAGAACTTGTTGAAGAAAGAAAAGTTATTCATGTGGTCAAATCTCCCAGGGAGTTCAGCAGGCCTGGCCAAAAATCAAGTGTTATACTTTGCTTCAGTTTCCCTTTTGTGGTTATTTCCATAGACAAGATTTTGCTGTGAAAAGGAATGATGATCCAGTGAGAATGAAGCTATTCTTGGATCTCCTGACCAAACACTACTGATCTATCAGCTCAATACTGCTCTCTAATCATTCTTCATTTCAGTATTTTCAATCCCTGGGGAGGTTTCATTATTAAGCAAAACATGAAAACACAGAACCACCTGAGGGAAAGACTCACTTGGAAAGATCAACCCTACTCTGAAAGAGTCATCAACTAGAGACCTGCAATTAAGAAGGGATTCGAGTTTGGCTAAGACAGAGAGTCTTTTCTGAAGTCATATGGTTTCTTCCAAGCCTCAGATGGAGCAGAGCCACACTTCTTGAGTTCCACATTGAGAGGTTTAACACATGTATTTTCAGCACTGCTTTTTTCCCCACCAGACTATTTTATTGGTGTGAGTTTTGTCTCTGAACGAAAAGGGAAGGACAACTCTCAAAGATCACAACAGTTCTCACATGAATCCTTTTACGACTCATGTATTTCTACTTCCACTCATAAAATGCCTCTTCATTACAACCTTGTATTTCCATTTTTCATGTCTTGGCAGAAAAGTGACCAAGGATAAATAGTCCCAGATTAAGGATAAACATAATCAACTACATAATCAAGGATTAACACATACAAACTAGTTTACATTAAATTATTTTCCTTAAAGTTTAAAGCATACAACATGGTTTGATTTACATAGGTTGTGAAATTGTGAAGCGTGGCTGCAGGTTTTTCTAGAGCCAGACTAGGGCACCTTAAAACAAACTCTTCTTTGGAGGTAGACTTTGCAACTGCTGTGCTGGACACCAGTTAGGGGCAGTTACTGCTTTCCCAGACTGGTGATCTCCTTGGTATCCTATTTCACAAAAACAGCATACTCCTTTCTGGGAATCGTGTCATGCTTTAGCAGGAAAAACTGTTGAAATATTACTAAAATACTGAAATTAGACCACAGGCTAAGAATCAAAGTAGAAGCCAGATACATCTGGGGGGAGGGGAGGGGACATGGCAGAAAATATATTTTTTTTTCCAGTTAGACACAAAAGTCACAGATTTGGGAAGCATAGCTGATCAACTTCAAGAAAATCTTATAGTGTGGGTGGGGAACACATGGCTTCTGAACCATCCCAATTAAATGCTGAGATCAGGGTATGTACAACAGATTGCTGACAGTAACTGAGGGATGTCAGAGAAGTAAAACCAAAATTCTGTTTTTCCTCTCATCTCTTCTGTTTTCTTGACCATGCCCTCCAGAATGGTCAAGATGATATTAACCACTGCTCTGTATGTCACTAACAGCAGTATGGGTCTAAACTGCAAAAGGCACTAAACAGAGAACTTTGTTTAAACTGCTCCTATTTAAACCAACTGAGGTTACAGTGGGTTCTCGGTCACTGCTGATTCTGGAAATAATTATGAATTTAATGGCAGTGATACAGTATTCTAAGATGCCCTATTAACTCTGTGGAACTTTGGGTAAAATAAAAATACAAAGAGAGTCTTTGTGGTTAGAAGAATCCAGGGTTGAAGATAGTCAAATTGCTGATTCAAGTTAATACCTAGGTAGGTGGGTTTAAAATCTATGCATCTTAAAATGCAAGCCTATGTGAAAGTGAAAGCCCTGTGAAGTAGTAAGGTTGGCGATTATATTGACATATTTGTGGTTTAAAAAATAAAAAGAAGAAGAAGAACTAAGTGCCAAGATATTTAGGCATTAGCAAATTAGGGAAAGTTTTTTTTATTTATAATGTTGGGGTTATAGTTATACTCCTCCACATTTGCATATGTTCCACTAACTAGTTTGATTACACTGCCCCTCCATACTCCATCCTAGGCCAAGCATGGTTGTAAAAGCACTTGATACCATCCAAATCTCATATAACTTCCCAAAACTTTCATGTCCTATTACTTGTCCTTTCCCAACTAAATGCCTATGTCTTTCACCTAAGATATTTTAACACTGGTGAGTAATGGAGATTTTCCATAACTACCTCAGAATATGTGACCCACTTTGAGACACATTATAGACCATCACTCATCTTTTTGGGGGGAACAGGAATCACCAGCACAGTAGCAATTGTGAACCTGAAGTGTGCTCTTTTGCTATGTTCTCTGTTCTCTGCAATGGCATTAGATGCCAAACACACAAGCACACACAGTCAACATGTATTTTTGCATTGTTCTAATCAAGTGCTGTTGAAGTCCATTTACAACCTTGCAATAATAAATCAAACAGCTTCCATAAAGGCAGAAGAAAGAACTTTGCCTATAAACTATTCTGTGGATCTAGGCTCATGCACCATAGGGGACTCATGTCGCCAATCGTAAAAAAGAAAAATCTGGACTAAGTTAAAATGCAGGACAAAATATACGTTTCATCCACACTTAACCATAGTGCTGCTAAGGAAACATAATCTTCCTTAGGAAAAACCATAAGCAACCCATGTGGAGAAAACATAATAGAATACTTAAGATAATATATATCATTTTATAAGCTTTACAGGTCTAATTAATTAAAGAACTATAATCTGAATTTTCTGTAGGTTCTTTTAAACTGTGCTCAAATAAGATGATTAACCATGCAATTGTCAATTTAGATGAATTACAGAGAATATTATCCTAACAAAGAGGAGCTGGAAGAGTACAATTCATTAATTGTACAAATACCTTTAAGATAAAGCACATACTTAATAGTTGTATTCATGTTAAATGGGAATTAAAAACTAATAAACTGAGCTAAACTGCTTCAAGAAAACAATAAAAAGAGGAAAAGTAAATGCCCACTAGCCTCGTACTGGTGCTTCTGATGCCAGCCTGTATCAGCTTAGTTATTTCCAAATAGTTATGGAATCAAGAGGCCTTCTCTAATACTACGTGGCATTTAATTTATTGGCTTATTGAAATGTAGCATTTTTGTTATTCATCACATTATAGGTAAAAAATGATCATTTCTAAATAATAATTTACATATATTATTAAAATGGAGTAAGAAAAAAATGTAGTATATTCAACACTTCAACTTTGTTGTTGTTGTTTTAATGATTTATTTATTTAGGCATCCAAGTTCTGGGGTGTAGGCCAGAGGTACGGGGGGGAGGTGTGAGGGTTCAGCAGAGACAGAGTGGGGAACAGAACAGGCAGATGCACTGAAATACACTGCTGAAAAGAGCAGTGGGGGGTCAGTCAGGAGAGGTCTGCGCGCCATGTGGGTCAGCTCCCTGGCCGGAGTTCGAACTCATGCTGCAGTGGCTGGTGATAGCTTGATAGCACTGTCTTTAACTCCTGCGCCACCAGGGAGGCCTCAACACTTAAACTTTGAACAGGCATAACTGCCCCTATTTCTAAAAGTAAGATAAATCAGTGCTATTTAGAAAGGAGTCATTTTTAAAGTTGAATTTCTTGGAAGTACTTTAAATCCCAATGTATTTTTTATTTAAAGATTTATTTATATATACAGAACTGGGGTGCAGGCCAGAGATGCAGGGGTGGTGAGAGGATTCACAGAGACAAAGTGGGGTGCAGAACAGGCTGACTGACAAAGGACAATGCTGAGGGGAGCAGTGGGCGGGCCTGGAAAGGTCTGCCACGCCATGTGGATCACTCCCGGGGAGGTGATCAAACTCATGCTGAAGTGGCTTTAACTTTTTAGTGCTGTGCTTTAACCTGCTGCACCACCAGGGAGGGCCAAGTCTCAATATTTAATGAGAATGTCCTCAATACGGAAAGGCCATATTTATACATGTAAGGGAAACACAATAAAATACTGAGTAGGGTTGGACATATGGAGGATGTATTTGGAGTGAGTACATGTGTGTATTGTTCAAGATCCTTTCAGTTAGCTCATTAGAAGGAAGGAAAGACAAGAAGGGTAGAAGAAAGTGGCAGGGCAAGTCTGTGAGTTCAGAGGGGTTATGGGACATGCTAGCAAACCCTAGGGATGATAAAACTGGCCACTCTGCTATTGGCAGGGCCTTGTAGACAGTGTCCACATTCTGTTAGACCAGTCATCCACAAGTCACAAGTAAGGAAAATCAGAGAAAACTGTCCATGTGCCCTAGGAAACAAATGTGAAGCTAAGTCCAAAATACTTGAACAACAACAGGCTGAATTTCTCAAATGCCAGCAGACACTGCTTCACTGATGCAGTACACAAGATGGGCTCTCCATGAGGATAATGATTCAGCGCAAGCTACCAGTCTCTATTATGAGGTGGAGGCCTTTAAAGTTTTGGTTTAATGATGGCAATAGTAAAACAGTTTGTCTGAGAGTGCACATTGAAATATTATACTGGTGTTTGTCCTTGAAGAGATCAAAAGCAAGAAAACTTTATTACATCTCTACACTATTTAAATTTTATGGATTCCTCCAAATCTCAAATCCCAAATCCTGAAGAGACTGACACAGAACATGAAACCATCCTCTCCCAGTCTAGTTGTGGAATAACTTGACACTTGCAGGGCTTCTAGAAATTCTCTGAATTGAGCAGATCTAAATAAATAAATTCCAGAGACAGTAGAATTTAAAATAATCTGGAAGCCTGATCCTTTGAACAAAAACCTGTGCTTTAAAGTGGGGGAGGACAACAGATTGCGTTGGGAATTGGGAGCTGAAAGTCGGGCAACTCTGAGGGAACTGAGATCTTTCTGACAAGGCTGGTGACCCCAAAAGACACAGAGGCAAACACTAGTTTGTGGACACTTCACACACTGTGGCAAAGGGGAAAAGCTGTGAGGCATCAGAAAAGCATCAGAATAGCAGAGAGTTCCCAAGACTGCTTAGAAAAAGGAAGCCCAACCTTATCAGGAAGAGAGTCCTCCCTAGGACATCCTGCTGTTCTCAGGAGTCTTTTCGTGCAATAAATCTGAGCTTGCTGAACTTCAATTTGGTGTTGGTGATAATTCTTCCATCTCTGGGACACATATGTTCCCTATCAGAGGCCAACAATGGGAGATGCAAACCCTCCCACAGGGAGAAGCACTAGAAGGCTCCACATTCAAGGTCACCACTTTCGATTCAATGGAAAGCACATGACTTTCTTCCAGCTGCATTATGTTTAATATTGCAATAATTTAAGAATCCGGGGATTTAGAATTCTAAGAACATCATAAGTCAGAAGTTATTACTCTGTAAATTATTAGTACTGACCTTTGAAATTAAATGTGCCCCTTTGTTCCTTTTCTTCTCCAAAGAAACAGGAATAACTTCCCATTTGTTCACTACTAATAACGGTGAACCTAAGAATAATTTAAGTTATTAAGATGGTCTTAGAGCTCAAAAAACTTTATGAAAATAAAAAAAAAATCATAGCTATTAATTACACTATTAAAAGAGACAATTCTGAAAGCATGCAAATTAGCATAAGAGCATCACATTCAGTTGACAGCAAAGGAAAGCATTCTTAGCAAAAATATTTTAGCTAATTTCATCTAGCCATGCAAGTTAAAATTTTATATACTCACATGTATTGTGTATACAGGATGTTTCCTGATGCATTGACTAAATAATTATTCTCCAGTAGTTTGTCACCTTTTCTCCAAGTCACATTTACTGAATTCAAATCCCCAGATGTGGTAAACTGGCATGTAAGTTTTACGTTAGTCGGTCTTTCTAAAGTGATATTTTTTTCTACTGACACACTGGACTGTTCTGCTAAAAAAAAAAAAAAAAAAAAAAAGATTTGAAAGTTACATTTAAGAGCAGGGACAAGCAACATATAAAAAAAATCATTTATGCATACAAGAGCTGAGGTGTAGGCCAGAGATGCAGGGGTGTAGGGATAGTGAGAAGCTCTACCAGGGGCAGAGTGGGAAGCAGAACAGGCAGATCCACTGAACACGCTACTCAGAGGAGAGCAGGCGAGACAGGAGAGGTCTGTCATGCCATGTGGGCCAGCTCCCTGGCCAGGGATGGAACTGGCCCTGCAGTGGCTATGGATAGCTTCACAATTCTGTATCTTAACCCTGTGCACCAGCAGGGTGCCCCCCCCCCACCAACCGTTTCTTAATGTGAAATTCTTTTGAAGAATTAGTCTTCTGTCAACATAGATTTGGTTCGTTTTATTCTTTCACAGGCAGAGTTGAAGAAAAATTTCGCTACCATTAATTAACAGGACAGCAAAAACCTATAGCTGTGATCTAAACCTCCTTAAATTTTCTAGCTAACAAGGATGTAAGTGGCATATGTTTTGAGAGTGTAGAAAGAGCACAACTGTAAGACTAATAAAACTAGTGGGGAGAGATCTGAGAAATAGTTCTCTCAGTAATCATATTGTTTGGAATTACTACAGGAATTTTTATGTATAATGTAATCTTGTGTGAAATACAAAGGCTATTATTCTCAATCATTTTAAGAATGCACAGGGATTGGATGTAAGACAGAAGTTAAATAAATACCCTGTAGTTCTGAATTTTCATGGAACAGAACCAACTCATTTATGGAGTATCTATATAGACATCTTTAGAAAAATGAACAGTGGTAAGTAAAAGAGAAAAATATCAAGCAAGTACACTACTTGTACCACTGGTAATCACAGAATGGAAGAGGATTTTTTTTTCTTTTTAGAATTTCTTATGAAGATATCATAGAAATAGAATATACTTAAGTTGCAATCCCTAGTGAATCATGGATCTCAGCATTTTGTACCACCTGCTGCATTCAACTCAAAAAAAAAAAAAAAAAGATCATCAGCTCTGAAAAACAGAATTTTGTGTCTCTGGAGGATAAACAGCTGACCTAGAAAGTCCTATTTTCCAAAAATATAAAGAGGGAGGGGTCGTAAAATTGACCAAGTCCTCTAGATACAATTACCAGATTACAGTAAATCAGAGGATATGAAGACAAGTTAAACTATACCTAGCAATGCAGCTTGTGAACTCCAAAAGATGAATGATCTGGTTTATTTGACAAATCAGAAATGGGAGAGAGAAAATCCTAAAAGTTGTTAAGAGCCTTAAAAAACATGCCTTTAGATTCACTCATAGCAGGAGTATAATGGACCAGGCGAGAAAATAACAAAAATAATGAACAACCATAGACCAGAGACATTCTGTGGGGGTGGAGTGGGGAATGGGATCAAAAACGGGGGTGGGGGGAAGGGAGGGAAATGCACGGGACTATGGTGGTGGCACAGGGGTGATTTGGTGATGGGAAACTCGTGGGGATTACAATTGAGATGAAAAAAAATGTGAAAAATGATGTAAAAATAAACTTTTTAATAAAAAAAAAAACAAAAAAAAAACATGCCTTTAGAAAAAATAAAACTAATCTATTTATTGAGGATACACACCTGGATAATAAAGCAATAAAATAAAGCAAAGAAGTAACAAAATCAAAATGGTGGTGGTTACTCTTAACAGAAAGGATAGGATTATGCTTGGAAAAGATATACTATATAAACACATTTCCCAAAATCACACTCAGTAATGGTATGACATCATTAAGTAGATGTCAGTAAAACAGAGACAAAAATGTAGAAATATCTGAGAACTTTAATAAAATAGCATAAACTCAATGTAATTCTATTTAAAACCTTATAAAAATGCTTCCTTAGCAATGACCAGCTGCAGAGCTTGCAAACAGTGAAGCACAGTGAGGGTGAAGTGCTTTGTGAGCATATGCTTGAAATAACTGTTTATGACGTTCCAAAATTGCTGAATTAAATCTCCTACTCAAAAGAAAACAATCACAATCCTAGGTATAGAAAGACGTTAAAAAGATTCAAAAGTGTAATGGGGAAAATGAGTATCTGAAGGGATTTACATGTTACTGGATTTGCTAAGCATCTACTATAGCCTGAAATTATCCCAGGTACTAGTTACCAGAGGAAATGACTAAAGATCTATGAAATTCAGTTTTGAATTTCTGTTTTCTGTAGATTTTCATCAGTACACCATTAGCTCTTGGTAAATATGTACCTGTAAAACATTCAGTCCTGGTGATGGATGTTAGCTAACCTAGTTGTGATAATCATTTCACAATATACACATAGCAAATGATTATGTTGCACATTTACTACAATGTTTGTATCAACTATATCTAAAAACAAATGTCCCCAGTCCTGTCTCTCTTCCCAAGAAACCTTCTTCATTAGCCAATTTCTTAAAAGTTCCCTATACAGTCTGTCCTCACCCACACAGTCACTTTAATGTAGCATATCCTGGTATCACAGTATGAAAAGCACTTTCTCTTACATTAAAAACAGCCTTAATATTTAACCTGAACACCTTTTTCCAGATTTCTCATTTTATTTGCTGTCTCTGAAATATCAGACATTATCAGTGACTAACCTACTCCTTCATATTCCCTGTCTTCTGATCCATGTTGTGATCCTAACATGAATTTGCTTGCCCACCAACCCTTCCAACAACCCCCTTAAAATATGAGATTTTGCTGTATGGCCTCTTTATTTTTCAATTTAATACTTCCATGTTGGATTCAACTATTATCTCTAATATCTTTTATTTGCAAAAGTCTTGGTTCTATTCAAAACTTCCTTCTTTAGTCCTAGATTCATAATTCCGAGCATCTAAGCCCAGATCATTCAAACACAATACATTCAAGGGACACCCATTAGGTGTCTTCTCTTCCCTGATGCATGGCGGTGAATCACATGCAGAATTCAGTTAACTCAATCTCAGAAAGACCAATCAAATTTGCCCAATTTTCTCTAACCCCCTTTACACTAGGTCTTTGCTGTTATTTAAGCCATATTACCCCAAACTATGTCACATTGACATACTGAATATTTTTTTTAAATATTTATTTATTTATTCGTACAGAACTGGGGTACAGGCCAGAGATGCAGAGGGTGAGAGGATTCACCAGAGACATAGTAGGGAGCAGAACAGGCAGATGGAGGAAGTACACTGGTGAGGGGAGCAGTGGGCGGGTCAGGAGAGGTCTGCCATGCCATCTGGATCTCCCCCAGGGCAGGCAGGGATCGAATTCATGAGGAAGTGGCTTTAGCTTCTTTGTGCTGTGCTTTAACCTGCTGCACCACCAGGGAGGGCCCGACATACTGAATATTTTTAACTAAAGGAGCTTGAGAAACAGCAGCAGATCACTCCAACCGCCATCCCTGGGCCCTGCCTTTCTCCCATGAAACAGATCATAAAATCCTCACATGTGAGTTGCCACCTGTACACCTGGAAAGGAACATCCTCACCTCTAAATACAGAGGGAGCCCAGAAAAATACTAACACACAGGCCTTGCTAAGTTTCCCTGAGTTTACTACACTTACCTCATACTCTCTGATATATCACATCCCCCACGACTGTCCATTCTTCATCATATTAAATATAAAATGCTGAGGTTTAAGTATCATTGGTTCTTTATTTCCTTAAGAAGGCCCTTGTGTCACACAAAATGTCTTTTAAATTTGTAGGGTTTTTTCTCCTGTCAGTTACATTTTTAGACCCAATTAAGACAAGTTTTCCCCTTCCTTCTACCTTAGTTATCTTTCACCAAGACCAAGCAAATTACTTCAAAATTCTCTTAGCTAGTTTCTCTTCCTCCACATATTTTCTGTAATAATACCAAGGGTATCATTCTAAACTAAAACTCAGATTACTTAACTGATTGATACCTTTCATTTACATAAAAAGTATCTTGTTTTATCAATTGTGGTAAGTGCACTTAACATGTCATATACCACCTTAACAGACAGCTAAGTGTCTGGTATAGTACTGCTATTGAGAGATACCATGTTGTAAAGCAGATCTCCAGAACCTATTCATCTTGCATAATCAGAAACTTAAGTCTTTTGCCTGACACTTCCCTATTCCCCCATCCCAGGGCCCAGCAGCCATTCTGTCCTTTCTTTGAGTTTGACTATTTTAGATATGGCATATCATAATAGCCAAGACATGAAAACAATCCAAGTGTCCACTGATGGGGTTGTGCCTCTCCCTCCACCGCCCCGCCCAAATGTGGTGTATATACACAACAGCACATCACAAAACCTTAGGAAGGAAATCTGTCAATTTCAACATGGGTGAAACCTGAGGATGCAAGTGAAATTAGTCAGCACTATTTACCCTGTGGAGGGAGCCACATTTCAGCAGTTTCTGTCCACAGCATCTCAGTGGGTGCCATGTGCATCCTGGTTTATCCCCTTGCTGGTGTATGAAAGGAGATCTTAACTCATAAAGAAGCAGACTCAAAAGGTCAAAATGCCCAGGGCAGTTGTAGATGGACCATCTACTGAATCCAGGAAATTTCATATCCAACAAAGCTCTGCTGAGACACTGCTTCCAGGTGAAGCCTTTGAGACTTCTGAAGTCTCTTCTAGAGTCTGAGCTGAAGAACACAGCCTGATGGTCTCCTCTCCGTCCCAGTCTAACTCTGCAGGACTTCCTTCCTCACAACCAAATGACCCACTCTGACTGCAGCCAGCGGAGCTGCAGAAGACTCTGGAAGTCAGAACAACCACAAAAGGCTTTTCTGACCTCTTGCATTATCTCTTTCACACCTCATGGGGTTGAAGACAGATCACCTTTCTTGGGGGAGGACTAGCAAGGAGACTTGGTAGGGTTCTCACTCCTAGCAGGGGCATTATAGAGATATTTACATTGCAGAAGGTGATGCTGGGGCATCATGCTGCTTTTGGCAATGGGGTTCTTTGGGGCATCCTAACAAAGTAGGAAGTTGGAATATAAATTATCACCTCCATTTCACAAGGAGAAGCCTGCTGTCCAGGGTTCCTGACCTATGATACTCACAGGGTAAAACAAAGCACTTTTATGTTGGGCAACTCACTTTCCTCATGTGTAAAATAGGACAATACATATTTTATGAGGCTGTAGAAAGGATTATATGAGCTATTACATATATTATTAGTAAATTAGTTGGTCAATGATTGCCCTTTCATTTCTTCCACCACGTATCTCATTGGGAAATAAAACAAAAGCTAACACACATGTCACTAAAAGTTCCACACTGATTCTATCATTTAGTCTTCATAACAGTTCGATGAAATAAGTTCCACAAATAGCATCTCTACCTCACAGATGATGAAACTGAGGCAAAGATGCTTTGATTATCTACCTTAGGTCAGGCATCAAGAAAATGATAGTGCTGCCTCTCAAATTTCAGTATGGTTGAATCCAAAATGTCAGAACCAATATTACATACTAACTCTCCAAGGTACAAAATCCTCATAACAACATAATGAACTTATTCATCACTTGTAAACCATGGAGTCGTGGTTTTAATAGAAAATATTAATAGAATATTAAACAAATTTATAATGCATCAATAAAACAATGTGACAGGTGCCAGAAGGGATCTAAGTCATGCCACAGTGGCTGGTGATGGCTTGA